CTGCGGACTCCAGTGCGTGATAGCGGCGGACAATCCAAATTCTTGTTTCAGCGTCCCAGTTAACCGTTTTTTATTAAATTTAAAAGCCAATCTGCAAAAAAAAATTAACCAGATTCATTAAATAGAAAAAAAGTTATTTAATTTTGCTTGGTAGCGGCTTTCATCAGCCACCCTATATTATACGGATATGAGCAATGTCATTGGAAATATTGCATTTCGGGAATTCTGTTCAAACATTGAATGCCGAAATTATTTGACCAAAACAACCCTAAATATGCATTATTAAATTATTAAACATACTAAAGGTTATATTTAAACTACAGAATRGAATTAATGGAGGTCTGCATTCCGATCTGAGATCTATTGTGCCCTYTGGTCATTCATACAGACTCACATTTTCTGAGCRCTARCGAGKMCTATGCGGATACAAAGAGGACCTTGTTGCAGCATATGGAGATTGCTACACAATCTCAAAGCAGGTGCTTTGAGATTTCCGGCTGCAGGTCGCAGTACCAGTTGCTTGCACAGAAGACTATACTCATATTGCCAATGTGTTTCTTGAGCCCTTACACATTTAATGCTGAAAGCACACGACAACAACTTAGTTCTCAAAATAACAAAATGACATAATCTCAAAATTAGATATCTCTAAGCAAGCAGTGGATGAAAACGCTTAGCCCGTTAGTTTCAAATAGGACACCGCAAACCAAACAGTGTGTAAGTGATATTGTTGTGAGCCAAACGGAGCCATGCGATGCCCTACTTTAAACAACTGAACAGCTTTATTTGCTAGTAAAATTATATCGATTTGATTGAGGCTTATGTGTTTTCTACACCAGCATARGAACCTATTCAGATCTTTATGAGAGCAGTATCTCAAAGTTGGGTGATATCATTTTCAGTAATTTCCAACATCTGTTGCTTTTCGAAGTCCAGCGCATGTTCGTCTTCAAYCACGTTGCACTCATTTCATTCGCAGATGTTTTCTATGCCATTTTTACTCCTACGCAACAACAATAAATTAATGGCGTCCAAGATGACCTTGGTCATAGGACCACTTCTAGCAATTTCCGACAGCTACACATCGACTTAAGCGTAATTTGTGCGCCCACTAATGACCAGTATATTGCTCATTTCGCTGCCAGTGACAGCCACATCACTGTGACGTCGGTAGCATTCACCAAAAAGCTGGGTTATCGCACCGTGACGAACACGCTGGTAAACTTACGCCACCAACCGCACCCACTCGCACGGCCAAATCACTCAACCAGCGGAGAACAATCAGCAATCAGTGACGGACATCAGCAGCGCTCGCCGCGGCGCACATCCAGATTGCTGCGCTTGTGGCCGGCCAGCATTAGCACTTAATGAATACAAATGGTAATTATATGGCTGTGCTTGCATACAAAATACATACACTGTGTGTATGGGTATGTTGCAAGTGTTTGCTTTTCTCATTCGCTCACTTCAAAGCGCTCATRAAATTACTTCTATTCGTTAGGCCTGCCACTACTGTCGTTGTTGTTGTGCTCACAACGTGGCTAACATGATTTTTAGTGTCGCTGCTTATCATAAAGTTGGTCATGAAAATTAATGTTGCACTGTCCGTTTTGTGTCAACATCAAGATCTGCCATAAGTTATGGGCACTCAAAACGTATTGGCAACTAAAATATGCGCATAAATACCAGGCAACTTATTTATGAGGTAGTTTTTTSTCGATGTCATTAAATTTAGTACATAAGATAGTGTGACTAGCTAAATACATAACATTTTAGGGAAATATAAATCCATGTTTCAATAAATGTATTTTACTTTAATAAACACAAAAAGTAGATTTGAACTAAATTTAGTGCCGAAAATAGGTGAATTAGGCTTTTTTCCAACATGCATTACATTAAAAGTACGAATATTTGTTTTAAATTGTACTAAAAAATTTTACTAAAAAGTGTACTAAGAAATGTACTAAAAATATTTTAACTGTAAAAAGATTACTTATACATACAGCAGTACTATTAACTAATAGTAATCTAAAAATAATTCAAGCCAGTACTAAAAACGGATCTTTTTTACGTATTGAAATGTATATAAGGAACAACCATTTAACAGCTTCGAGAATAACGTAAATGCTCATGCACTTTAATAATAGTAAAGCTGTAAAGTCTAAAAAAATCATCATTAAATGTATTAGGAAATCGGACTACAGTTATTTTGTACTAAAATTATTATTCCATATTATATAATATGTATTATCAGAAAAATGTGATCATTTTTRTGGACTTTTGATGCAATGATTATTAACCCTTTCGCTACAAGTTTTTACTCAGTTGCAAAAAAAATCCAATTTTTTGAGTGTTTACTATAGTTGGCC